CCTCCAACAATTAAAATGTGCAAAGTTAAAAGCCCAATAAGGCTTAGAGGATTTTTGTAAATTTCCTAAAAGCCTAAAATGCGTAAATAAATTTTAGTGGAATTTGCAGAGCACAAATAATAATTATTAAGAAATAAACAAAGTTAAGATGATTTTATAAAAAGAAAAACCCTAAAAAGTCCCCCTTCCCTCCCTTGGGACGAATTCGGCCCATCTCCCTCCTCCTCTCTATCCTCTCCCCGCGGCCCACTCGGCCTCTCCGGGCGTGCACGCCGCTGACGGGCGGGCCCGCCCGTCACCCTCGCTGACGGGTGGGGCCCACCCGTCATCCCCTTCCTCCCGCCGCTCCCGCCGCCTCCCCCGCGCCCTAGCGCCGCGGCCGCCGCGAATCCCGCCGTCTCCCGCCGTCCCCACATGCAATAAAGTGGGGGGAAATACTCCCCGTGATTCCCTCTCCCTTTCCCCCCATTTTTCCCTCTCTCTCTCGCGTTCAAACGGGCGGATTTGCCCCCGCAAATCTCGCCGGCGCCATTGATGGCGGCCGGACCTCCCGCGCCGGTTTCCTTCCCCTCCGGCCGCTCTCTCCCCCTTCCCTTCCCCTCTCTCGGCCGCCGCTACACCGTGCAAATGGCCGCCGCCGGCGACCATAGGGGCGCGGGCGCCGCCTCCTGCCGTCCGCGCCGAGTGGCCGCCTTCGGGCGCGCCGAGTGGATGCCGCGTGGGGCCCGGCCGTCAGCCGCCCGCGCCCTCGGGTGCAGCTGACGTGTGGGGCCCACGGCGCCGGCCGGTGTGAGCCCGGGAGCACCCGGTCCACCGTGGACTGTGAGGTTGCCGCGTGGGCCCCACTCCCGTGGATCCGGTCCACGCGCCCCCTCCCCTCGGCTGACGCAATAAACCCTTTTTAAATAAAAATTTAAATGAAGAAATTCGCAAATATTCATTTAAAGAGAATATAAACTTCAAATGGCCATAACATGGCCATTTGAACTCGGAATTGGACCATTCAAGTCTCTAATTTTTCCTTAAGAAGTCAAGCACCCATTTTTGTGCTTTGTTCCTGCTTGTTATATGGAGTTTATTAGAGTAAAAGCCCTTTTATTTTCCGTTGGTCGTGTAGACGTTGCAGCTTCGGAAGATTCGCTCTTCGTGGAGGTTGAAGCCGACGTTTGGGAAAGTGAGCAAGGCGAGTCACATCATCCTTGAACATATTGAATCCCAGTTTATAAAATTATTTTGATTTAAATTATTGCATTATCGCTTTATTTAAATTCCCGCGTTATCACTGTTTTATCTAGCCATGCCTATTTACCTTTGTTATGACCTTATTATTGTTATTGTTATTATTTCCTTGTTCACCCTAGAATAAACAAAACCCCAACTAGTGGACACTCTACTCATGGTACCACTAGTATGATTTTAGGTAGATGCTTCGCTGGTTAATTAGGCAACATTAGGTGGTTTTACAACCCTAGACTTTGGGAATACTCTTATCACATGGACACTATGGAATGGTTGGATTATTGTGGAATTGTATTCACACCTCCCCCTCTATTCAAAACCCTCAAAATGGTTTTAGGCTGGGCTCGGGGTGCATGGTTTTGATAGTAGCACCTCGGCCATATAAGGACCGGTCTTCGGAGCTCTGTTGCAAAGCACTACCGTACTTCCACATGTCTAGTGGGTAAGGCTTAGTTTGTGGCTCAGTCTGGTTATAAACAAAAGTACACGGATGGAGATGGACGAAGTCGGGGGTCGATGGACATCTCTAGGGCAAATGAAGGCTACACGAGCTGCGGCCCGGTAGTCGAGATGTCATGGCACAGGGCCGATGTCCTGCTGCTAGGGGCTCAGTCCTGCCTACCTGTCCTGGGGGTTCCGGCCGTAGGTGGGGTTGGGTCGGTACTCTTGTTTATGGCTAGGATGGGTTGGAAACTATGTCATGTCTTCCGTCCGTATACCGTGGTGGTATGTGGCACGTGGTTACACGTGAGGAAGATGTGTCTTGTGGGTAAAGATGTACACCTCTGATCAGAGTATAATCTATTCGAATAGCCGCGCCCTCGGTTATGGGCAAGCCGAGCAATGTACCCAAGTTAGTGTTTTTAATTCTTAAAACCTGCTTAACAACTAAAATGTGGAATGGTAGGCATGGGTTGGCTTGGGACGAGCTGGGACCCAGGGTCAGGTTGCCAGTTCGGTCTGAATCATCGTAGGCCTTGGGTTAAGGCAGGTTTGTGTGGGTTCACGGCCTTGGTTAATAATATTGTATAGCTCTAGGACCGTGTTTACAAAGTAGCTTTGAGCAACTAAGTGACTTTTAATGCTGTTTACTGCAAACCCTAACTCCCTATATTATGGCTCCCTTGTACTCCCTTGCATTTATTCTGCACTTGTGAGTGTGTCTTGTTGAGTACGGTGGTTGTACTCAGTCTTGCTCATTTTTTCCCAAACCCAGAAGAGGAGCCCTTGGATGATGAAGGCTTTGGTGTCTAGCTCGTGCCTGCCGTCAAGCGCCTGTGGTCGTCGCCCTAGTCTTCCGCTGTTTTTCGTTTGTCTTCTTGTGTGCTGGGCCTTCGCCGCCCATGTAATAAATTAATTAATTACGCTTCCACTTGTTAAACTCTGAATTGTATCAACTTTTGGTGTACCTTGCCTCCTGGGACAAGGAATAATGCACGCACGTAAGGAACGCCCGTTGGGTTATTTCCGGTCGTGACAGGTGCTGCAAATCCAAAGGAATCGAGAAGAAGAAAACAAGATGAGGAAGGGGGAAATCGATTCCATGCGAAGAAAAGGGATCTAGCCGATGAGAACTTACCTCAGCGTACTCGGCCGATGGCGCGGTAGACGGGCTGGCGGAGGACGACATCACCACAAGCGGAGATCCGGCTGGAGATGGAATCGCCTTTTGCATTGGTGGAGTCGCCGGAGAGAGAGAGGTCAAAGTTTGTTTCAGCGGTGAAAACGGAAGAGGACGGTGTGAGATTTCTCAAGGGTGGCGGTTAGTATTTAAAGCACGGGAGTAACGGTCGGAAAACGGCAAAGTGCGAAACTTGCTCGGAGTCGATATACAGCAAATTCGAAACATTACCAAATATTCCGGACTTGGGGGGCATGTCTTAACGACCAAATTTGGTAATATCATCATCGGAAAAGAGGATTAGATCGAAGCAGAGTCAAAGGCGAAGATCGATTCGAGAACAGAGCAAGAATCGGCTGGAGTCCAGATCGGCTACGATCAGGATCGGCTGGGTCCGTGTCAGACTGGGTAAGCCGATACAGCCGATTCCGACAATACGACTTGGTGTACAACATCGAGTTGAATTGATATGCTTCAAGATGATTGCCGCACATGGATAGAGTCCTGAGAAGGCAATTGTATCTATTAATTAGGATATTTTATGTAATTTCCTTAGACATATGTTTGGGGCAAAAGTCTGGTGTGAAGACTTATGGTATCTTAGAGTTTGTTAGAGATAAGAGTCATGTCCGATATGGACATAGTTTGTAATTTTCAGGTATAAATAGACCCTAAACCCTATGTAATCAATTAACACACACGTTCAATATAATTTCGGCGCATCGCCACCCTTTTGCTTTAGTTTTATTTCGACGAGTTCTTGCTTTCGGGTTGAGCTGCATCGGTTTCGATCTTCAACAAGAGGTAAAACTTATTATGACGGCTTGCGTTCTCGGGATTAGTGCTTCCATCTTTATGATACTCTAATCTTGTTTATGTAATTCGTCGAGTTATCATATATCTTACATAATCTCCAGCAATATCGCTATTTAACCTACAATCGGCTGACATCTGTCGGTAGAGGGCAGCCGATTAGGTTAAACATCGACGTTGATTTGGATTATATAAGATATCCAGCACTTTATGAAACTTCCAGCGGCTTGATTGTCTAGATATTGCTCTTCTTTTCATACTTAATGCTGCATCAGTTGAATTTGATCTATTAAGTCGTGCTTAGAATATCAATCTCTAGCCTGCTCTTCTGGTTGCCGATTAGGGTAGTATCGGAGTTTCAGCCGATCTTATCTGATTTAACTACATTTGCTCTATATGTTTTATTGATATGTTAAATCTGCCCTTTATGTCAAGATTTTATTGCATCTAAGTATATTAAACTTCTGTCTGGTATGTCCTGCTTGTTTTAACATCTTAACATAGAGTCGTATGGGAGTATTAGCCGATACATGCTAGATCTATCTGATCGGCTATGCTATGAACATATATAGTCTAGTTGTTAATATATATTTCGATCTAAGTGATTTATACTGTCTCGGCATCACGACCGATCTATCCCAATCACTTGATTTAAGTATACATCGACATCAAGATTATATGTTGTTAATATCCACAGCCGATCGAGTAGATTTAGTTCTTTATTATCTATTTATAACCGCCGATCTATTTACATATGACATCGGCTCAAAGATAAATAATACGTCATCGGCACATAGCCGATCGGCTATCATTTATGGATTTAACCATGGTTTCTTTGTCTTTATTTCTTGTTGATTGCAGGATCAAATCAACTGGCACGCTAGCATACCCAAAGGCGGGTTTTGGACCTGCACTGGAGTTATGCAGATCTACCAGGCCTCGTGTTTTCCGTCAACAACGTGTTGAATAACATCTTGCTCAACTTGTTGTGGTTGTGTGGACATTGAAGCATTTTCCGGTGTTTCCTGAATTTCTTCAAGTCGCATCATGCTCCCACTATCCTTTCTTGAAATAAACTCTTTTTCCAAGAAAACACTGTGTCGGGCGACAAACAATTTGCCTTCTTTCCGATTATAAAAATAACATCCTTTCGTTTCCTTAGGATACCCCACAAAGAAGGATTTATCATATTTAGGTGTGAGTTTGTCCGATTGCAAACGTTTTACATAGGCCTCACAGCCCCAAATCTTTAGGAAAGACAAACTGGGACGCTTCCCTGTCCATATCTCATATGGTGTCTTATCCACAAATTTTGATGGAACCCTGTTAAGTGTGAACGCAGCTGTCTCTAGAGCGTAACCCCAAAAGCTTAATGGGAGATTAGTTTGGCTCATCATTGATCGCACCATGTCCAACAATGTACGTTTCCTCCGTTCAGACACCCCGTTCCATTGAGGCGTTCCTGGCGGAGTGAGCTGTGGAACAATTCCACACTCCTTTAGATGATTGCCAAATTCAAGGCTCAAGTATTCTCCACCACGATCAGATCGTAGATACTTGATTGTCTTGCCCAAATGATTGTGTACCTCATTCTGAAATTCCTTGAACTTTTCAAAGGATTCAGACTTATGCCTCATTAAGTAGACATAACCATATCTACTAAAGTCATCGGTAAAGGTAATAAAGTACCCAAAACCACCTCTGGCGGTTGAGCTCATTGGTCCACATACATCAGTATGTACTAGTGCCAATAGTTCACTTGCCCTTTCACTTTGACCTATGAAAGGTGCCTTTGTTATTTTGCCAAGTAAACAAGATTCACATGTCTCAAATGATTCAAAACCAAAAGAGTGTAGAAATCCATCTCTATGAAGCTTCTCCATGTGTTTCTCATTTATATGACTCAAGCGACAATGCCAAATAAAAGTGGGAATCAAATCATTAGGACGTTCCTTTTCGCATTAATGTTATAGACTGAACATCCATCAAGATTCACAATGTATAAGCTATTCATCATGGGTGCATGGAAATAGAAAATGTCATTATAATAGACTGAACAACCATTGTCCACTGATCTAAAACCATAACCCTCTGCTTGCAAACAAGAAGCAGAGATAACGTTCTTACACAAAGTGGGAATACAATAACAATTATTTAACTCCAAAACTAATCCTGACGGTAAAGATAATGGCATAGTGCCGACAACAATAGCAGCAACTATTGCTCCATTGACCACGCGAATGTCCACTTCGCTTCTTGCTAAGCTCCACTACAAGAAATTTGGCCTTCTATGACAAATTTCATCTGACAAAACACATTTTAGTCACAGTAGTAATGCGTTTATGACAATTTTTCTTTGGATGACAAGCGTTTGTGACTAACTTGTAATTTAGTCATAAACAAATGTCACCATGTGCCTTTCCCATTCTTTGTGACAATAGTCACAGTCAAAGTTGGCTTCTGAGGGTGGGATCATAGTCAAGCAGCATGTACCCATACTTACAAGTTGGAAAGGATACAAGAACGACAAAGTCCAATTCAAGGACCAATTGGACAACTTCATTGGCAAACTATCTTTAAGACGCTATTCGGCTAGTTCAATATATGCTAATTTCATCATTTGCTTTTTTAAATACTAATGTTATGCTATTCAATGTATAGGTAAACTTAAGCTTGACTGGTGAAAAGGAGAATGATGTAACTTCAGCGTGTGCTGACATGCTAATGGTGGAGCACGCTAAGCTCAAGCAGAAATACTTCGATGGGGTACCGGCAAATCAAGTTAGGACTACATCACCATGTTCGTCTATGACTGATGAACAATGGAGAAAATTGGTAGACATGTGGTCAAACCCAAAACACAAGGTATGGTTTATGCCAATATTGGTTTTCTGTGAGTCCACTATTGGGACTCGAGCACTACATCCTAATGTGTCTTTTAAGCTGATGAACTTATGGGCTGTGAACTCAATTATGTAAACTCTTTAATTGAGATATGTGTGCTGGTGATGTGTTTTCAAGCTGCTATGAATGTGCTCTGTTGCTTTGCATAGTTCTTGGTCCTTCAGGTTTCCTACTGCACTGTTCCAGTCGGTTTGCTAGAATGTGATGCTTTGTTCCAGTCAGGTTTTCAACTATCATTTTGGTTGCTGGAATATATTTGTACAGTTTTACTATCATTTTTAGCCTGAACTGCAATATCATTGGTTTATTTGTAGGCCTAGTTTCATATTGACAGCATTGCTCCTTAATTTATTTGTAGGTCATAATCTGCAATGGACTGCTCATATCAGTAATTAGCTCATTCATCATGATTTAACTGTAGTAAACATTACATTCAATAAAATGCTCATATCAGTAATTAGCTCATATCATCCATGATTTGATAGTACTAAACATTACATTTAATGAACTGTGCATGACCAGATTGCTCATATAACACCATATTGTTTTTACTGTTTCCAATATTTGTTGTATTACTTATGATATACACTTGTGTCATGTCTAGGAAAAATGTGCAAAGCTGAAACAGAACCGTGAAAATGTTAAGTTTCACCAGTGTACTGGATCTCGGTCTTACATTGCAGCAGCCTACATCGCGGTAAGAATATAAACCGGTTGTATGACAGCATGCATGTGTTGGAACATGTTTTCTCTTATGTGTATATTTAATCTATGCATTGCTAATGTCATTATATGTTTGTGAACATTCCAGAAGCAAGAAAAATACAAAGATACAGAGCTCACTGCAATTGATCTATTCAAGTTGACACATTGCAGCAAAACTAAGGGTTTTAGTGATGATGCCAAGAAAGCTGCAGTAAGTATCTCTCCTTTTTTTCTTTAGTAGGTTGCATAATGAACCGTATACATAAATACAAACCTGACAAATCATTGTCTTGCTAGGATGATAAGGAAGCCATTTTGAGAAGACCAGTACATGAAGGGGAGCAGGAAATGATTTGCACAGATATTGTTGCCTAAGTGTTGACAAAGTCAAGCACATTCCTTCGTAATGTGGGACTTCAACAGCCTATTGCTGCTCCAAAATCTATTTCACCGCAGATGCAGGAGCTACAAGCACAATTGGAGGCTGAGACGGAAGAATCTGCAGGACTTCGCCAAAAGGTCCAGAGGTTGGAAGCCCAGGCAGAAGAATCTGAGGCAAAAGCTCAGAAACAAGATGAGGAGATTGAGAACCTAAAGAAGGCAATAACAGATACTCAAAAGTCAGCAGCAGATACTCAGAACCTCATTTGACAGATGATAGCATTTGGACAGACTCAGGTCACTCATCAGACCACTCCTCCTTGACTTGGTTGCGCTCAGGTACACATCTTCATCTTGTGATATGCCTCTTCTGACATAATGCAGTTTCTGTTAATTGTTCTTGGACCTCTCTTTTTTTTTATACTATTAGTAGTATTGTACGATATAGTTAGATACTAGAATCAAATGAACTTAGGTACTGTTTGGAATCAATATTTCTACTACAATAACTTCCTATAGTGCCAGGACTCATGAGGCTGAATAAATAAAACCACTGGTAAATATAATTTCCGAAAGATTGCTGTCGCGTCCCAAAAAGACCCTAAAATATATCCTTCAAATTATGCCTAGAATAATTAAAATCTGTGTGCAAGCCTCCAACAATTAAAATGTGTAAAGTTAAAAGTCAAATAAGGCTTGGAGGATTTTTGTATATTTCCTAAAAGCCTAAAATGCGTAAATAAATTTTAGTGGAATTTTCAGAGCACAAATAATAATTGTTAAGAAATAAACAAAGTTAAAATGATTTTATAAAAAGAAAAACTCTAAAAAGTCCCCTTTCCCTCCCTCTCCCTCTTGGGTCGGCTCGGCCCATCTCTCTCCCCCTCTCTCCTCTCCCCCGCAGCCCATCCAGCCTCTCCCCGCGCGCGCGCCGCTGACGGGCGGGCCCGCCCGCCGCCCTCGCTGACGGGTGGGGCCCACCTGTCATCCCCTTCCTCCCGCCGCTCCCGCCGCCCCGCCCGCGCCCTAGCGCCGCCGCCGCCGCGAATCCCGCCGCCCCCGTCCTCCCCGCGTGCAATCAATAGGGGGGAATTATTCCCCGGGATCCCCTCCCCCTTTCCCCCCATTTTTCCCTCTCTCTCTCCCTCGGATTCGTTTGGAAACCCCTCCCCTAACCTCGCCGGCGCCATTAATGGCGGCTGGGTCTCCCGCGCCCATTTCCCCCTCCTCCGGCCGCCCTCTCTCACTCCCAACCCTATATAAACCCTCCCCGAGCTCCCCACCACCGTTTCCGCCACTCACCGCCCTCTCTCCCCGCCGGAATCGAGCTCGCGCCGTCGCTCTCTCTCTCCGCCGTCGCCGTCGAGCTCCGGTCCGCCGCCGTCGTCGCCCCGGACCACCTCCCACCTTGGCGCCGCCTCCTTCGGCATCGCCGCATCCTCGCCGACCTCGTCCACCCCTCCGTTTCGCTCGTCGACCGCTAGAGCACCGTCGACCCCGTCCACCCGAGCCGCGCCGCCGCCTTCCTCCGCTCCGGTCGCCGTTTCCGTCGTCGCCGTCGACCCGGGGTGAGCCGTGGACTGCCGTTTCTTTTCCCCCTTCCCTTCCCTCCTCTCGGCCGCCGCTCCGCCGTGCCTATGGCCGCCGCCGGCGACCATAGGGGCGCGGGCGCGCCGCCTCCCGCCGGCCGCGCCGCCGTAGCCGCCTTCGGGCGCACCGTGCGGCTGCCGCGTGGGGCCCGGCCGTCAGCCGCCCGCGCCCTTAGGTGCGGCTGACGCGTGGGGCCCACGGCGCCGGCCGGTGCGAGCCCGGGTGCGCCCGGTCCACCGTGGACCGTGAGGCTGCCGCGTGGGCCCCACTCCCGTGGACCCGGTCCGCGCGCCCTCCCCTCGGCTGACGCAATAAACCCTTTTCAAATTAAAATTTAAATGAAGGAATTCTCAAATATTCATTTAAAGAGCATATAAACTTCAAATGACCATAACTTGGCCATTTGAACTCGGAATTGGACCGTTCAAGTCTCTAATTTTTCCTTAAGAAGTCAAGAACCCATTTTTGTACTTTGTTTCTGCTTGTTATATGGAGTTTATTAGAGTAAAAGCCTTTTCTTTTCCGTTGGTCGTGTAGACGCTGCAGCTTCGGAAGATCCGCTCTTCGTGAAAGTTGAAGCCGACGTTTGGGAAAGCGAGCAAGGCAAGTCACATCATCCTTGAACACATTGAATCCCAGTTTATAAAATTATGTTGATTTAAATTATTGCATTATCGCTTTATTTAAATTCCCGCGTTATCACTGTTTTGTTTAGCCATGCCTATTTACCTTTGTTATGACCTTATTATTGTTATTGTTATTATTTCCTTGTTCACCCTATGTTAAACAAAACCCCAACTAGTGGACACTCTACTCATGGTACCACTAGTATGAACTTAGGTAGATGCTTCGCCGGTTAAATTAGGCAACATTAGGTGGTTTTACAACTCTAGACTTTGGGAATACTCATATCACCTGGACACTATGGAATTGTTGGATTATTGTGGAATTGGATTCACACCTCCTCCTCTATTCAAAATCCTCGAAATGGTTTTAGGCTGGGCTCGGGGTGCATGGTTTTGATAGTAGCACCTCGGCCATTTAAGGACCGGTCTTCGGGCCTCTGTTGCAAAGCACTACCGTACTTCCACATGTCTAGTGGGTAAGGCTTAGTTTGTGGCTCAGTCTGGTTATAAACAAAAGTACACAGATGGAGATGGACGAAGTCGGGGGTCGATGGACATCTCTAGGACAAATGAAGGCTACACGAGCTGCGGCTCGGTAGTCGAGATGTCATGGCACAGGGCCGGTGTCCTGCTGCTAGGGGCTCAGTCCTGCCTACCTGTCCCGGAGGTTCCGGCATGATCAAGTCTCCTCGGATGATGAAGATGAGTCTCCCCGACATCTCGGCGAGGAAGAGATGGAATCAAAGGCATGCACCCGTTGTGGAGAAATTGGACACATTGCTAGCAGGTGTCTCACACTCTGCCCTCATTGTGAAGAAGACCATCCACCAGGGGAGTGTCCCACCCGCAAGGTCACATGTTTTCTGTGCGAAGGTACAAACCATGTGCCCAAGGATTGCCAACTCAATGTGTTGTTGACCAAGACCGCAGAAATCCAACGAACAACCCTACGATTGTCTCATCAGCTAGTCAGCTCCAACAGCAACATCGACAATATCATCCACAACACCAATGCTCCTCCTGCTCTACCTGACTCTGCAATAAATCATAGCAATAATACCTTCAGCACCAACCATTCTCTGCACCGACAGCCTCAGCAAAGAATTGTCGTCGATGGAAGAAGTTGTGTCTCTCCCCGACCTACTCCAGGCCGAGCAAAGGGCAATCAACTTCAGGAGGGCGATACCAAGCAGAAGACCGTCATCCGCTTCAAACAGCAATCAGAAGGAAGCTTCTCCCGTGAATGATAGCAATATGCAGTCCTATCACATCATCACAGAACCAATCAAGGATGATGCAGTCACTAGAACAATGCCAGCTATATCTCTCCAGAATCAAAATGAGCAGCCACGTTTGTGGATTTCAGTTCGCTACTTATCATTGTGTAATCGAAAGTTTGCAGCAATCATGTAATAAATAAATATATTCATGTCTATAAGCAGTGAGTTTACTATGTTTATGGATGATTCATGTTGAGGATACAATGTACCAATGTTAAGCACCTTCCCTTTTTGGTTTAAGGCAATGCCTTGTGTTCATGTAATAAGGGAGAAATGTGTAATACAGACAAGTTCTATGAGGATTCTTTTGGAAGATGCGGATATGTGATCATGTGTATAATTGTTTACTGATAAAGAAGACCTAGGGTCTCATTTCAGAGGAACTATGTTCTAACCTCGAGTTAATAACCAACCTGATGATGAAAAAGAAAATCAAGCGATTAACCAAAAAGACATTTGTTTGGACTAAGAGTTTCAGATGTGTCTTTTTCGGATCAAAGGCAATGACAGTCAGTACAGCTTTTGGCGAAACATTTCAAGGTTTCACTGAAAGGCAGCAGGCCAAAGGACCTCAGTTCTCTAGTCGGAAAGAAGTAGGTCGAAAGGTGATTGATAAGAGAAATCTGAAAAGAACACATCAGGGTTGAATGTGTAAAGGAATACTTTGAATGCTAAATGATGACAACATGAAGAGAATAGTGGAAAGTAAACTGAACATAAAGAAAGTGAATCCGAGTTGCTTGTTCGTGGGAGCTATTCCCAGTTATGAACCAAGTGATATGTTCAAAGATAGTCTACAGAGGTCAGATTAAAATCACATCTAACAACGAAGCTTCAGATTTGGCAGGATAACGATCAGACAATAAGAAGTCCAGCAGTAAAGCCATTTGGGAAGACGTCAAAGCATGTCAAGTGGGATAAGTTGGTTCTGTTGAGAAACATAATTCAAAGGCAAAAGTTATCGACCCTTGCATCGAATAGCAGTAGTATCCAGCACCCGGAGACCAGGAAAGCTAATATGATGCAGTTAGTGACAAGTTGTCAAACATGGTATGCTGGATAAGCGTGATATCATAGTCCAAAGCATTCAGTGGTAAGTTAGAAGTAAATGACAAACATAATATTCTCATGATGACAAGCATGGTATCCTAGTAATGACAAGCTGATGTCGACGCATAACGTGAAGTGGGTAACTTGTATGAGATTGACGCCAAAGATATGAATTATAAGAAGTTCTGGAACTGAAACCCCATCCTCAACTACCGCAGCCTAGTCTGAGTCAGTTAAAGGTGCAACCAGGGACAAGTCGGGTGAAGAGAAGATTCCATCTGCAACAGGAGATCGAGACAAGCAGTCCAGAGTGGAGAAGTTTTGCTAGGCAAGTTTGTTATAAAAGACGCGACGGAAGAAGTCAGACAAGAAGAGAAGACCGCCCAACCTATCTTCTTGCTAGCCTCCTCGA